TTTCAGTATGAAGGCTTTAGATTATATGTTGGGGGTAGGGGGACAGTTTGGGCTCAAAGCAAAAGAATAAACTATATGACCCTGAAACATTATGCTGGCTCTATGATTCTATGAACTTTAGCCTACCAATCATGTTTATGGAAACAGTCTATAGCAGATGGATACAACAATAGCAACAAACGTGGAAATGATGTGTTTCTGTGCAGACTGCTAAGGCTTGCTTGGGAAGAATACAATATAATCATTGTCACTTACCTCTGCTAAGTGAGAATGCAAATAAAAGAAACACCCTTCTTCTCTGGTTCTGAGATACATTCTGTGACACTATTTTCTCCTTCAAATATCTTTTAAACCAATATTAAAATTAGCATTCCATGTAAACATACGACAAATGATTATGGGAGGCAGGCCAGAAATACATAATGTGACAGAGAAGAGCCAGGGAGAGTTTAACAACAAAGGGGAGATAATGCAGAGAACTGGTAAAAGCATAGACTCAGAACCAGAACACTTAAGCTCTAGACACAACCCCACTTTAATATCTACGTGGCCATTAAGTCACTTATCTAAATGGGCATTGTTTCTCCATCTATAAAATGAGGGAGGTGAGAGGTGTCAGGTAGAATAAGTGATCTCTAATTGCACAAGTTCATAGATAATTTAAACATGCAAAATCAGGAAACATATACTGTATATGAAAATCCCAAATTCAGAACTGTAGCATCATAGTGCATAACTGAGCCATAAATAATACCAACACAGTGTATCATTCAATGTTATAATTGTAAGGAACAATGGAGAACATCGAGTCAATCTATTCAAGCTATTGAACTGAGGCCTAGAGATGTTACATAAATGGTTCAAGATCACACAACTAGCAGAGTTGGGGAGATGGGGTTAGAATTTTTCTGCTTTTTCCAGTGCCTATAGGATGACACCGAGTGAAATCTTACTAGAATTAAAAAGAAAAGATAAATGAGACCTTTCGGATAAAAGCACAGATATATAATTCCCATAGACTATCTGTAATTAAAGGGATCTTAAAAGATACCTAATCAAGTTATCTGTTTGTGAGACTCTTAATGATTGCTATTCAATTTGCTTAAATTATCTTCACTTTCTAAATTGCCAAAAAAAACAAAACTTATGTCATGGGTCACAGAAAAAAACATATCTCAACAGTTAGAACTTCATAGACTATCATGTATAAATCAGTATTTATTAAATACTTCACTGAAAATCCAGGACGGATATGAATGCTAATCCATTTTGGGACAATATTATTTTGAGAAGTGCTTACTTACCAATGCCAATCTGAGAAGAACAAGAAAAGCAGTATGCCTCAAATGAAAGGTCAGGCCCGATACATCCTGCCCATTAGATGTAATAGAATTTATCTTCCCAATTGGAACTAAAAAATTTAATAGTGGCCTGAATCCATAATTCAGATAGCCAAGAAGCCATCAGGATTATATTACTTGGGCTGATTTGTCTTTGTTCCTGATGACTCAGGTAAAAAAAGAATAAATAACAATATCCTCCATTAAAATATTTAGATATCTGGACATACTTTCCATTCTATAAAGGAACAGAAAAAAAAGATCTGGCAAAATAGTTCTAAATGAGATGATATAAGACAATATAGAATAGGAACTGAATAAAAATAAATATAATTTGGGAATTCCAATACTAAAAATTTAAATAATGAAACATAAAGTTTATAATAGTTGGTGTAACTCAGGTGATTCTCTAAACAGACTGATAGCATTAAATTTATACATTTTAAGAGGAAAATGTCATAGTGATCAATAATGCCAAAAAAATAAATTTCTTGCAGTAAGAGCTTTATGACCACCAAGCCTAAGATTAAGTATGAAGAAGACCCTTGAATCTCCATTCACAGAAAAAGAGAAATGTTAGGTGAAAAAACGAAAAGTAACTAGCATTTACTTTTTAAAAAATAATTTCAACTTTTATTTTAGATATGTGCAACTTTTATTTTAGATTCAGGGGATACCTGGGTATATTGTATGATGCTGAGGTTTGGGATACAATTTATCCCATCACCCTGATACTGAGGATAGTACCCAATAGTTTTTCAACCCTCCCTACCCCCTCTAATGCTCTCCAGTTTCTATCGTTGCCATCTTCATGTCCACAAGTAGCCAGTGTTACATTCCCACTTGTAAGTGAGAACATGTAGTATTTGATTTCCTGTTCCTCCATTAATTCACTTAGAATAATAGCTTCCAGCTGCATCCATGTTGTTGCAAAGGATACAATTTCATTCTTTTCATGGCTGCACAGTATTCCATGGTGCATATGTACTGCATTTTCTTTATCTAATCCACCACTGATGGGTACTTCAATTGATTCCATGTCTTTGCTATTGTGAATAGTGCTGCAATGAGCATGCAGGTGCATGTGTCTTTGTGATAGAACAATTTATTTTCTTTTGGATTTATACCCTGTAATGGGAATGCTGGGTTGAATGGTAGTTCTGTTTTAAGTTCTTTAAGAAATCTCCAAACTGCTTTCCAGAGACTGAACTAAGTTTTACATTCCCACCAACAGTAAATAAGCACTCTCTTTACTCTACAAAAGATGCCAACAGTTGTCATTTTTTGACTTTTTAATAATAGCTATTCTGACTGGTGTGAAATCGTTTCTCTGTGGTTCTGATTGGCATTTCTCTGGCAATTAGTGATGTTGAGCATTTTTTTCATACACTTGTTGGCCACTTGTACATGTTCTTGTAAGAAGTGTCCATGTCTTCTGAGTACTTTTTAATGGGATTATTTGGTTTTTGCTTGTTGAATTTTTTAAATTCCTTATAGATCCTGAATATTCAGCCTTTGGTAGATGCATAGTTTATGAATATTTTCTCCCATTCTACAGTTTGTTTACTCTGTTGATAGTTTCTCTTGCTGTGCAGCTCTTTAGTTTAATGAAATTAGGTCCTACTCGTCTTATTTATGTATTTATTTATTTATTTATTTATTTATTTATTTTTGAGACAGAGTCTCACTCTGTCGCCCAGGCTGGAGTGCAGTGGTGCGATCTCTGCTCACTGCAACCTCTGCCTCCAGGGTTCAAGCAATTATCCTGCCTCAGCCTCCCGAGTAGCTGGGACTACAGGCACATACCACCAAGCCCAGCTAATTTTTGTAATTTTAATAGAGACAGGGTTTTGCCACGATGGTAAGGCTGGTCTCGAACTTCTGGCCTCAAGCTATCCGCCTGCTTCGGCCTCCCAAAATGCTGGGATTACAGGCGTGAGCCACCACACCTGGCTTCAAATTTTTTTTTGTTGCAATTGCTTTTGAAGTCTCTATCATGAAATCTTTGTCCAGTCCTATATCCAGAATGGTGTTTCCAAGGTTTTCCTCTAAGATTCTTAAGTTTGAGATCTTACCTTTAAATCTTTAATCCACCTTGAGTTAATTTTTGTATATGGTGAAAGGCAAGGGTTCAGTTCCATTCCTCTGCATATCGTTAGCCAGTTATCCTAGCACTATTTATTGAAAAGGGAGTCCTTTCTCCATTGCTTATTTTTTATCGATTTTGTTGAAGACCAGATGGCTATAGGTATATGGTTTTATTTCTGGATTCTCTAACCTGTTCGTTGGTCTATGTATCTGTTTTCATCCCACTACCATGCTGTTTTAGTTATTGTAGCCTTATGGAATAGTTTGAAATCTGCTATCATGATGCCTCTGGCTTTGTTCTTTTTGCTTAGGATTGCTTTGGCATTTGAGCTCTTTTTTTAATTCAAAATGAATTTTAGAATAGTTTCTTCCTAGTTCTGTGAAAAGTGACATTGGTAATTTGATAGGAATAGTACGGAATCTGCAGATTGTAACTAGTATTTTTAAAGCAGTAATTACCACATCTAAAAACTAAAGTGAGGGCCAAGCACGGTAGCTCACAACCGTCACTTTGGGAGGCCAAGGCAGGTGGATCATGAGGTCAGGAGTTCTAGACCAGCCTGACCAACACGGTAAAACCCCTATCTACTAAAAATTCAAAAATTGGCCAGGTGTGGTGGTGGGCACCCGTAATCCCAGCTACTCAGGAGGTTGAGGCAGGAGAATCACTTGAACCCAGGAGGCGGAGGTTGCAGTGAGCCAAGATCATGAGACTGCACTGCAGCCTGGGCAACGGAGTGAGACTCTGTCTCAAAAAAAAAAAAAAAAAAAAAAAAAAAAACCATGAAATGAAATGATACAGATCTGGGAAAACTAACTTGGTCATTCACACAAAGGGAAAACAGAGACGAGGGGGAGACAGAGGAATAGGGTCATTTTTCTTCTGTAGGGGAGGACAGAACATATGAATCATTTGGAGGACTCATCACACTTTAACTCTGTCACTAAACCATTAGGATACCTAGCTAAAATACTGGAAATAGAGGTTGTTATGACTACACATTCTTTCACTCTCCATAATGTATAGTATTACATTATTTGAAACATAGTTTTACACATTAAAAAAATTTAGGGTTGCGAAATCTAAAACTAGAAAGATAATCGTGAATGACAAAGATAAAACATTTTAGCTAAATAAGGATTTTGAAGTGGTTCATATAAGTGACTAAGGCTCAGAATAGTGGGAGTCTGCTAAGATTGCACTCCTAGTAAACTCCCATGTTGGGTGAATACAAGAAGACACCAAAAAAGGTAGAGGGGTGTTATCAAGTGGTTTTATCCCATTCTCTCCCCAAAGCTACACATGACTGGCATGGTCCTGTCAATTTTTCCATTCTCCCAGTGTGACAGTTGAGTATTTTACAGCATTTCTTTCAGCTTACACTCTGCACACAATTATACTCAGCAACATTTCTACCAAGTCTGACTTGTCAGTATTGTCACCTGGTCCCTTTCCAAATTCATCTAAGCCCATTGGACTCATGGAAACATGAGAAAGGTATCGTCACACATAATTAACTTCATCACATGTAACTAAATACACACGATTCCGTCCAAATAAGTGGCACTTACTTATGTCCATTTAAGGCTGCATGGTGTAAAGCAGTGTAACCCGAACTGTCTGTGCAGTTCACATTGGGGCCTCGCCAGATGCTGCAAATAAAGCACAAGCGCAGAGTTAACAGTGAAGCAGGATCTTGCCTTGAAAAACAAAAAGAAGCCTGGTAGCCCCACAGCCAGCAGCAAGTTGCAGATAAAAATTTTAGCCATGTGGAAAATGATTGCCATTTTCCATGAATTCCCCTCAGAACATCAACTTCATTTACTTGATAAAGGGAAACTAACAGAGAATGCAACTGTTAATATCTTCAGAAATTATTAACAAATGTGTGTCCATGGTCGTGCATTGAAGTCTGGATCCAAAAATTCCCTATTACTTTCTATCATTACTTAAATATTAGAGGCAACTAACATTCAGCTACTATATTCCATTCCAAAGAATAAAGATTTATGAGACCTGCCTCATGCCTATTAACACACTCCTTCTGAGGTGGCAGTGATTTATATAAGTTATAAGATATTTTTGCATTGTGGGAAGAATATAAAGTCTTTTTGCTGTTCTATTGCAACCAAGAAAATGTAATCAATATTTCATACTTGAAAATAAAATGGAAGATTTGGACTGTTGTAAACCATGAGAAGATCCTAACAATTTTGCAGTCATCATTGATTTTACTATGCAATATATTCTGGAGATAACATGTAATTATATAAAAGAGTCTTTTTTTTTTTGATAACTACAATTAAGGAAACTCTTTTTAACTTTTGGAAAATAAGGCACTGAAAGACACTTTTCCGAAAATAGAACAAAAAAAATTGCTTTATCTGATGGTCACAGTGATATCAAAACTATCAAAGATAATATCTAATGATAAACTAGTTCACACATTCACAAAACATTTACTGTACACCAATTGTATGTCACATATTGAGCTAGGCACTGGGAGCACAAAATCATAACTCAAGGTCCTTCTTTACAAGAACATAGTGTAATGGAAAAGATAGACACACAAACTAATAATTACAAAGTAGTAAGATAATCGAGGTACCAGAGAGCACACAGGCATCTCTGAAAAGAGGATGAATGGCTATTCCAAACAAGGGGTCGTGGCAGCGTTAAACTAAGGTGGCTCAATGAAAATGAATAGAATGTGCTTATTTGACAGTTAATTAAAAGAAGAATTAATAAAACACATGGATCAATTGGAAGAAGGTGGGAAACTGGAAGCAGTAGTCTAGAGATGACTCAGACTTTAGGCTTACATGACTAGAAAAAATTACAATGTTAACTAAGATGTGAAATGAAAAAAAGAGCAAAATCTTCTGCAGGGAGGACAATGAAGGATGCAGAGAAAACAATGACTCCTAGTTTGCAGACGTTAAATTTTAAGTATCTGACTTACTTATATAGGTTAAATGCAATCCCTATCAAAATCCCAAAGGCATTCTTTAAGAAATTGAAAAAAACTTCTAAAATTCATATGAAACCATAAGAGACCCCAAATAGCCAAAACAATTCTGAGAAAGAAAAACAAAGTTGTAGGCCAGGCTCAGTGGCTCATGCCTATAATCCCAGCACTCTGGGAGGCTGAGGAGGGAGGTTCACTTAAGCTCACTACTTTGAGACCAGCCTTGGCAACATAGTGAGACTCCATGTCTGCTAAAAATAAAGAATTAAAAAAATTAGTCAGTTGTGGTGGTGCACACTTGTGGTCCCAGATACTCAGGAGGCTGAGGCAGGAGGGCTGCTTCAGCCTGGGAGGTCGAGGCTGCAGTGAACCACAATCATGCCACTGCACTCCAGCCTGGGCAACAGAGCAAGACCCTGCCACCACCCCACCCCCAACAAAAAAAAGAAAGAAAAAAAAATTGGAGGCATCACACTTCCAGATTCCAAATTTAAGGGATATATATATACAACAAAATATTATTCAGCCCTAAAAAAGAATTATATCTAACCATTTTCTATGACATGGATGACCCTGGAAGACATTATGCTAAGTGAAATAAGCCAGACACAAAAAGAAAAATATTACCTGAAAATATATGAAATCTGAAAAAAAAATCAAATATACAGAGATAGAGAACAAAAGATTAGTAGGGGGAGTAGAACGGGAGAAATAAATGTCAAAGGATACAAAATAGCAGATATGTAGGATGAACAACTGTAGAGTTCTAAAGTACAACGTGAAGACTACAGGTACTAAAATTGTACTATATACGGGATTTCAGCTACATGAGTAGATTTTAGCTGCTCTTGCCACAAAAACAAAAAATAAAGGGTAACTCTGTGAGACATGGATATTTTCATTTGCTTCACTGTAGTAAACTTTTTTTTTTTGCTATCTATATGTATCCCATAACATGTGTATACCACAAATATACACGATAGAATTTATTTTTTAAAATACCACAATGAGATGCTACTATATAACTATCAGAATTGTTATGTTTAAAAAGACGTCATAAACCTATATTGACAAGGATGTAGATCAACCAGAGTTCACACACACACTGCTAATAGGCACGTAAAATAGTACAACCACTTAGTGAAACAATTTGGCAGTTTCTTAAAAAGTTATGTACAAATACCATACATACCATCAAATCATACCATACAAATAACATACAAATACCATATAATCCAATCATTCCATTCTAGGTATTTAGTCAAGAGAAATGAAAGCACATGTCCATATAAAGATTTGTACATTTAATATTAATAACAGCTCTATAGGTAGTAGCCTGAAACAGAGACAATCCAAATGTCCATTAGCTGGTAAACAGACAAATTGTGACACATCCATACAATGGAAATAAAAAGAATTAAATACTCAGAAAAAAAAAAGGAATTAAATACTACAGCATTGGTTGAAAATCTAAATCAATTAGATTCTCAGAACAGCAGAGCGGCTGCCCTTTGATTCTCAGAACAGCAGAGTGGCTGCCCTTCAATCACCCCAGCAGAAAGGGAGACATCCTTGGGCACAGATAAAATGCATGATCTCTGGACTAGACCCCTGATTTGTAGCCTTCATCAACTTTTGTGATGTAAATACTTCAACTTAACTCAGCAATAGGAAGAGATGCTAACAACTGCATTTCACAAGCAGACACAAGCCAATCCAGCACACCACTGAAAGGCTTACAACCAACAAGTCCTAACACTATGAACTCAGAGCTTCCCATGAGTTTTTGAAAACTTCCACTCTCAAATATGAACAAATAACCAAAGACATCCAATCACTTGAGGAAAGCCTTTACTATTAAAGAAGCAAAAACAAAAAATTAGGAAAAAACTATAGAAAAAAAGAAACCTAGAGAAAATTTGGACTATGCATGGAGAAGAAATTTCAAAAATAGTTATCATTATACCGTCTCAGTATCAGAAAAGATAATGAATGTAAGAACAATGAAATAAAAAAGAAAATCAGAGATAAAATCAGTAGAAGAATTAAAAATCAAGCTGATAAGGCCAGGCACGGTGGCTCACGCCTGTAATCCTAGCACTTTGAAAGGCTGAGGTGGGCAGATGCCTGGGATCAGGGTTCGAGACAACCCTGGTCAACATAGTGAAACTCCATCTCTACCAAAAATACAAAAATTAGCCAGGTGTGGTGGTACATGCCTGCAGTCCCAGCTACTTGGGAGGGTGAGGCAGGACAATCGACTGAACCCGGGAGACAGAGGTTGAAGTGAGTCAAGATCACACCACTGCACTCCAGCCTGGGTGACAGAACGAGACTCTGTCTCAAAAACAAATAAAAAGTAAAAAATAAAGCTCATGAAGTATCTCAGATACTTAGAAAAAAAAAGGCAAAGATACAGACAAATAGAAGGGAAATCATAAGAAAAGTAGGATACTCATTTAGCAGTTCCAATATTGAAAAATAGAGGTTCTTAAAATCAAAACACAGAAAACAGCAGAATGAAAACAATGAAAGATATTTTAAAAATTATCAGAACTTTAGGACATGAATTTACAAAATAAAATATACATGGGCCAGTCACGGTGGCTCACGCCTGTAATCCCAACACTTTGGGAGACTGAGGTCGGTGGATCACCTAAGGTCAGGAGTTTGAGATGAGCCTGGCCGACATGGTGAAGCCTTGTTTCCACTAAAAATACAATAATTAGCCAAGCATGGTGGTGCATGCCTGTAGTCCCAGCTACTCGGGAGGCTGAGGCAAGAGAAATGCTTGAGCCCGGGAGGCAGAGGTTGCAGTGAGGCTAGATCATGCCAGTGCACTCCAGCCTGGGCAACAGAGTAAGATTCTGCCTCAAAAAAAAAAAGTACCTGGATAGCTTTGACAAAAATTAAAAAAAAAAAAAAAAAGACAAAGAAATAACTGAAGTGAGTCCAATATGGTCTTTTAAATTTCAACTAAACAAATTCCTAAAACATCCATCCAGGGCTATTCTCTTAATTTATTTTCCTCTTTCAACTCTAGTTACACTAACAACTCTTCACTACCCAGGAAACTAGAATGAAGAGAAATTATTCATACCTGTTACTTCTACTTCAATCTGCAACCTTCAGTTATCAACCTACACTCTCCAAGCTCTTACTATGACCAAGAAAATACAAGTCCAAGAATCGACCGAAAAAATGAATAAAATATCACCTCTTCCTCCAAAGCGCTGAAAATCTATTAGAGAAAAATATATACAGATAAATTACAATACAAGCAGTGACCATAGTGCCTACAGCACAGAAAACACCTAATAATTGTTTGTTATCAATCTTCTTCTTGTTCTTATAAAATAAATGTAACAATACAAAAATCTTTAACTCCCTAAATTAATACATCTGTTTAAGACAACTCCAACAAAAATCTCTCTGGAGTATTTTAGGGAAAACTCAACTAAAGTTCTAAATTTGATCTAGAAGAATTTACAGGAAAAAGAAATTGTGAAACAAGAAGTAATAATGGGATCTATATACTACCAATTATGAAAGCGTATCATAAAACAATACCAAAAAATTTTGGTCTAGCACCAGAATAGAGAGATCAATGAATATAAGAGAAGCCCTAGAAACAAGTCAGTCATACATATAGGAATAAAGTTGACATCTGAAAGAGGCAAAAAA